TGCAAAATCCGTTAATTTAAAGAAAATATAATTTACTCAATCTCAAAGTCAGCTTCTTTATTTAAGTAGCACTAAAAGCGCAACTTGAAAAGCTAAACTTAAACCTATTTCAAAAAAGCTCAGGCTTTTTATAAGCTACAATTGGTTCACGATTGCTTCACGTTCATTTTCTTCACAGTACTTTATATTCGCTCACATATTCATTTCTGTCGTTATGAGGGTCGGTTCTCAGAGGAGATTAGGATACCGCTAATTTCAAATGATTGAGGATAAACTTCAAATCGTTGGACTTCTTGGTATTAGTCGATTTAGATATTGAAGAGAGAACAGGTCTTGATTTTTGGTTTGCATGGTCGAAACATCGAGCTGATATCTATCGGTTTTTGGGCTAAATTTAATGGTTAAAGATCCGTTTTTGCATACCTATTTCTCCCGAAGATCACGTAATTAACGAACGTCTCATTCACCCTTTCTCCTTCAAAAAACGCTTACGGTTTTCTTCGTTCGCCTGCGCCAATGCAAATCGCGCATGCTCATTTTGGAAGTAATCACGTCAACAAGATCGTCCATCTTTTAAGGTTTTTTCGAGACGTTTTCTTTATATTCTCTGCCCTTTTTGACTTCACGTTACCGTACATAAAATGCTTTAAATTTTCTACTTTTTGATGAATTATGTCTATTATTGCTCGACTTTAAGAAAGCGCGATAAACACTTTCATATAGATATTTTAAATTCAACCTGGTTCTACTATTCGCCGCCCGGTTGGCGTGTTTTTTCAAGGATTGCGTGTGCGATGTGTATTTGCACAGGCATGCGACGAAATCGTCCACACAGGAAAAAAAAGTATGGGAAATGTTTTAAATTGATTTGGGAAGATGCTATAATGAAATTAGTTGACAGGAACAAATTCTTCACCTACAGCTTTTTCCTAACATTTTCATATCGCACTGAAAAAGAAGTAACACTGCAAGATTTTTTCTTCGAGTCTGTTTTCTTTGTGAATTTCTTCAGGTAAAACCATAGCTAGGATATTTCATCCTTTCCAATCACTTAATTTTATGTAATCATCTAATGGTCATTTGATATCATTAAACCTACTGTAAAAAGCTGACCCCTGCTCAGTTTACACTGGACTCCAGCTGTCCATTTGCACGTTCGGCATGTGGCGAGGGTCACATCTTGGGCTACTTTATATATCAATCGATAGGTTTTGTATAGTTTTATTTGCACTACCATTGAACTTGTTCCGTATTTTTGTTTACCAGTGCCTTTCATAACCGTTTATGTTGTTATTCCTTCAATGTACGGCTCACTGTAAATTCTGTTATACAATGAAATAAGGGCTTTTGATGATTTCTCCACATTTTCCCCGCAATGTATTTTTCAAAAGTCATCGAAAAGGTAAAGACTTCTTTCTTGATCTGCAGAAGGAGCAAAGCTGAACTCCTATAGTAAACTCCATCTTCCACTTGTTACTAGCTTTCAGAGTTTTTATTTGTTATCTTTGGCATTTTTCCTTCATTACAAATATTCGGACTCAACTAATGTTATATCCACAACTTTTAAAGAAAAAAGCACAATTCTGCCTGTTTCAAAGTATAAATAAATCACTTACGACTTCTGCATCTCAATCTTTCCTACAAAACACCTCTTATTTACTTAGAAAGCAAACAAAAGGCTGAAAAATTGTCAACGTAAACTACCGTGCCAAATATTGTGCCACGTATGCATTCACGTCGCGCACACAAAATTGCTTCGTCCATTTCAAGGTTCGCAGCTGAGTTGTTCCTGATTTCATCGCTCTCCTTTCCAAATACCCTTGTTTAGTTGAGGAATTCTGCTCTAACACCAACTCCTTTCTATTTGGAAAGATGTGATTTTGAGCAAAACATGAAATTTTCTTTTTCTTCAATATGGATGCATGTTGTAAAGTTGCGGTCCTATTCAGAAGAGTTTTTGCAGTTATATTGACTGGTTAATGTTTTACTATATGGCTTTTCTTATAGTTTTATCGATTTTTGGGCACGAACTTCAACTCTCTTCTATAGTATTTATAGTTCATATAATACCCACTCTAATGGTAAAGAAATTTTTTAGATTGTCAATTTTTCCATTGCCAACATGGTTCCAGATTAATCCTACTATTTACATATGAATTTTCCTCCTTTAAATAATTTTCCTTATTTAGTAAGGACTCCGCTCGTCGATGGTGACGACACGTCAGCGTCCGGAGGCGTTCGCTTGGAGCCCTTCTGGGGTGGATTTTAAAGTAAGTTTTCTACCTGTGGATATTTCCCTTTTCAAGATTTTCTTGTCCTATTGCTATTTTGTTTTGACTCGAATGGGAAATGAATTTCAAATTACAATAGAAATAGTTTCGTTGGCGATCATCTACCGGCGATGACGGAGGAAACAGTTCACAGCTTGCTCCAGAGCGCGGTGGAATAGTTTTTTGCTTGTGGTCTGCCTTTTAAAACTTCGTTCCAAGAAATTGATTGGAAAGCGGCAGGTAGCGGCAACGGCTGTTTGGGGTATACTGCGCACTATGCGTGTACAGGTTATTAAACTGACAAACAAGATAAACGTAACCCATGTATTCTGAACATAGTTGATCTAATAAGTCGTTATCCAAATCAACATCTATTTCCTGTTCTTAGAGACTAAGGAAAATAATCTTTTTTCTTTCTCATTCTCTCCTTTCTCAGCAGATCAATAGTCTGGATAACAGGTGCTGCTCAGAAAAACATATTACGTTAAGTATCATTTC